TTTTTAAGATTTTATTTATTTATTTGAGACAGAGAGAATGAGAGAGAGAGAGAGAGCACATGAGAGGGGGGAGGGTCAGAGGGAGAAGCAAGCTCCCTATCACCTCTGCACCTCTTCTCACTTCCACCAACCTGGCAAAACTGGGAGTCTTGGGAAGCGCTTGTTTAGCTGCCCTGGGCCTGACCCACGTGCAGGGCCCGCCACACAGGATGACGGGGTGATGGTGGCAGGGAGGGGCCGCTGGACTGCCAGGCAGGACAATGGTAGGAGGAGGCACGATGGCTGACAGAAGGCTGGGCACAGACTTTCTGGCCATTTCTCCTGTTGACGGCTAGCAGCCTCTCTGCTCTCTGACCCCAGCAACTTGGGTATATGGAGCAGTTTACCTGCCCGCCAGGGCGTGTCAGGTTGAGAATCTGGAAATCCTGCTCGTGGAGAAAGAGGAGAAAGAGCAAGGAGTCCTGGACCTTTCCCACCCATGTGCCCATCCTGCCCTGGGCCCCAGGGGGCAGCAAGAAGGGACCCAGCATGGGCTTCGCAGCCACATGGCTTCAAAGACACCAAGCATGCTCCTGTCTGTGGTGGGCTGAGTGGGGGCCATCCAAAAGATCTGTCCACATTCTAATCCCTGGACCCTGTGAATATGACCTTATTGGGTCTTTGTGGATACAGTTGCAGTAAAGATCTCGAGATGAGATCATCCAGGATTACCTGGGTAGGTCCTAAATCCAATGACAAGTGTCCTTATAAGAGACAGAAGAGGAGAGACCCAGACACAGAGAAGGCGGGGTGACATTGGAGGCGAGGATGGCAAGGATGTGGCCACAAGCCAGGGAATGTGTGGGACCACCAGCAGCTGGAAGAGGTGAGGAAGGGTTCTTCCCTCGAGCCGCTGCAGGGAATGTGGCCCTGCTGGCACCTTGATTTTGGACTTCTGGACTCAGAGCTGTGAGAGACTCAGTCTCTGTTGTTTTAAGCCACCTGGTTTGCGGTACTTGTTACAGGAGCCCCAAGGAGGCCAACACACTGTCTCTGGACCTTTGCACTGGCTGCGCCCTCCTCCTGGACTGCTCTTTTTCAGACATCCACCTCAACCAGGTCTCTGCTTAAATGTCCACTCTTCTGAGCCACCATTTGCCCTAGCCCTTGCTCTCTCTCTCTCCCTTGCTCCCTGCTGTATCCCAGCACCCGCCCCTCCGCACATAGCAGTCCAGTCACTAGAATGAAGGCCGGCTCCTCAAGGGCAGGGATTTTTGTCTTGCTCACTGTGGCCCCAGTGTAGATTTGGTGACTGAAAGTAGGAAGGCTCTCTTCACCTTTATCACAACCTGTATATGTGAAATAACCTCAGTTTCATAGGAAGGAAACGGAGGTGCCTGGCATCCAGTACGACCAGTTGTTAGTGAGGGATGGAACTGCAAAGAATCAGCCCCAAAGGGGAAAAGTCGGGAAAACGACAAGGCCAGCCGGGTGCCTGCTAGTTTGGAGAACAGAGTTGGCTGCAGTGGAAAAAGCCGTGGGACTTGGGTGCGGGTCTGTCCGCCTCTTAGCAGTGAGCATGCAGAGTGCCAGCATGTGGGGAGGGGGCTCAGACACGGCTGGCTTCCTTCCCTCTCACCATGGGTAGAAAGGAAGGGGTCAGCAGGACTGTACTCCCCCTGGGGGCTCTAGGGGATGATTCTTCTGCGCCTCTTCCAGCTGCTGGTAGGGTCTAGGATGACCTCATCATAACCAGTTATATCTGCAAAGACCCTATTTGTAAATAGGGTCACATTCTGAGGTCACTGGGGGCTAGGACTTCAACATATCTTTTAGGGGGACATAATTCAATCCATAACATCACCCAATATCCATTCCAGCCCTCTCCTCTGGGGATAAGACCCCAGTTTTGTTCAGGGCATCAGTGGGCTCAGCCTCAGGTGACAGGTCATGACAATCCTGTCTCCAGTTTTCCCCAGCCTCTCTTCCAGCTAAGGGAGGCCATGTGATCCAGTTCTGAGACCTAAGTGGAAGTCTGCTGGGCAAGTTTCTGGAAAAACTGTTGCTTTCTTGATAAAAGGGGACAGATGCAGTTGTCCTTGCCCTTTCCCCCTTCTGTCCTTTGCATATGTGACAGCAGGTGCTTCAGCAGCCATTTTGTGATCGTGAGGCAAAGCTAAGCTAATTCGATACTGGGCCTTGCCAGCGCTCTGCTGCTGAACCGATGCCAGCAAGCTGCCCCCAGATTCCTTACATTGAACAACATGGGAGTTAGGGATGCTGACCCCTGGCAGAGCCGAAAAATCCACGTGTAACTTGAATCTCCCAAACCTTAACTACTAATAGCCGGCTGTTAACTGGAAGTCTCACCAATAACAAACAGTCGAGTTGCACACATTTTGGAGGTTGTATGTATTATGTACTGCATTCTTACAATAAAGTCAACTAGAGAAAAGAGAATGTTATTAAGAAAATCATAAGGAAAATACATTTATAGTATCATCCTGTATTTAACACACAAAAAAATCTGCATGTAGGTGGAGCTGTACTTGTGGCCACGTTCCTGATACACTGTGTGCGTTTGTTCTTCTAGTCTGAGGAGATCACCAGGGTGTGTTCTACTCGCCTTTTCCTTTGTCTTTCTCTCCCCACCTCTTCTCAGCCTGCCTGACTCATTCTCTCGCCACCTCCTTTCACAAGTACCTTGTTCCCACTGAACTAGCCAGAACATGGAAGAAAGCATGTTATATATTAAGCGAGGAATATTTTCACTGAGAAAAAGACAAAAGATTAATTTGATTCTTACCTCCTTGTTTTGATTTGATTTTGTTTTCCTGTTAGAAGTCTTTGCCAGAAAGTTAAAAAAAAATCTTGGAACAATGATAAGTTCTCAGAACCGTGAACATGGGACACACAGCTCTGTTTTACATTATGGTCAAGGCCGTTATCAAATATGGGCTGGGCTAAACAAAGGCATCATAGGGACAAACGCATGCTCCTGATTCTGAAGGTAGGCAAGACATACGTCCTAGTCATCCTCCCAGCCCAGCACACAGTTACATATTCAGTGTATGTCTGGGGGACGAATGAGTGACTGCACGAGAATGCAGGCTCACTAGAGATGATTGGAACAATAACCTCGGAATCAATCAAAGCTAACACATGTGCAAGACTTGGACACTGAAATCACAAGCCGTTGCTGGGAGGAAGTGGGGGAGGCCCGCGAATGAGGAGCTATGTTATGTCCACAGACTGAAGGGCTCAATATTGTTCAGATGTCAGTCCTCCTCAAAATGATGTATAGATTCAATGAAATCCCAATCAAAGTCCCAGCAGGCTTTTTTTTTTTTTTTTTTGTCATATAAATTGACAAGGTATTCTAAAACTCATACAGAAATGAGACAAAATTAGGATAGACCAAAGAGGTTTGAAAAAGAACCACATCAGAGGATTCACATTACCCGATTCCAAGACTTATTATAAAGCCACAGTAACCAAGAAGAGTGTCACGCGGGCATAAAATAGACCGGCATAAAGAGTGCAGAAGTAGACATGCGCACAGCCAGTTGGTTTTCTTTTTTTTTTTTTAAAGATTTTATTTATTTATTTGAGACAGAGAGAATGAGATACAGAGAGCACGAGAGGGAGGAGGGTCAGAGGGAGAAGCAGACTCCCTGCCGAGCAGGGAGCCTGACGCGGGACTCGATCCCGGGACTCCAGGACCATGACCTGAGCCGAAGGCAGTCGCTTAACCAACTGAGCCACCCAGGCACCCGCCAGTTGGTTTTCAACCAAGACGTCAAGGCAGTTCAACTGGGGAAAAGATCTTTTCATCATCTCCAGATGGAGCTGGAGAAACTGGACACCCATATAGAAGAAAAATAAATCGTGAATTCACCTCACACCACACGCAAACATTAACTCCAAATAGGTCACAGACCTAGCTCTACAAGTCCCACAGGAAAACAGAGGGTCAAATTGTAGTGACTTGAGTTTTGCCAAGACTTCTTAACTGTGGTACAAAAAGTACAAACCATGAAATTAAAAAATCCATTCACTGGGCTTCTTCAAAATAAAACAACGTCTGTTCTTCAAAAAACACTGTTAATGAAAATAGAAAGGCAAACGTCAGTCTGGAAGGAAATATTTGCAAAACATGTGTGACAAAGGACTTGTATCTAGAACTTTACAACCACATGAAAAGACAAAGGAATCAATTACAAATGGGCAAAAGATTTGAACAGACACTTCACCAAAGAAGATATATGAGTGGCTCAGAAGGACATGGATAGATGCTCAACATCATTAGTCATGAGGGAAATGCAAACAGAACCACCGCATGTTCATCTAGGATGGCTAGAATCAACAGGATGGACAGGTGTTAGGGGGCAGGTGGAGAAGCTGGAGCCTCCGGGCACCGCGGTTAGGGAGGTAAGACTTTGTCTGGCGCTGCCAGAGGGTTCCCACGGGCCCGGCACTTCCACTCCTCACTATATGCCCAGGATAAATGAACACACGTCTGCACAAACACCTGTGCACGGATGCTCATGGCAGCTTTATTTGTCATGGCCGCAAACCGGCAACAACCCAAACGTCCACCCCCAAGAGTCGGACAGGGATCGCGGTCCCTCCACACGACGGAAGAGCGCTCGGCAATACCAAGTGAGGGGCCGTTACACAGGGCGACGTGGCCGCGCCTCGGAATCATTCCGCTGACCGACGCGGAGGGACGGGAAGCAGAGCGGTGCTTGCGGCAATGGAAGAGGGGAGGGGCAGGAAGGGGGGCGACGGAACCTTTGGGGGTGCTGTTTCTGGGCACCGTCTTCATGTGAGGTCCCCGACACGCCAGGAGTCGGGCCTGTGAACATCAGAACCATCGGGCTGGCTACGCTGTGTGCACTTGCTGGTCATCCACGCGCGGAGTCGCGCGCTCTAGCAGTTACCATTTACATGACCTTCCCTTCCTCAGTCTTAGAATAATTCTTCCATGCGAACAAAAAGTTGCTCCTCATCAGGAACCAGAGAACTTCACGTGGCATCCCAGGCTTCCCTGCACTCTGCTCCCGATGACCGAGTGCCCCACAACCGTCCTACAGAAAACCCTCTGCTCTCCCAGGGCTCCTGCCCACAGGGCTCCCCCTCCTTCCGTCTGCCCTGCCTGACATCCCTTGAGCTCTACTTCCCTGATACTCCTGCTCTGGCCTCAGGACACCGCTTGTCACCTCGGCTACCTAACAAGACAGACACTTAGCATCCCCGGCCGGGGGCCTGCTGTGCTCCTCCGGCTGAGGAAAGGAGTGGAGGTCCTGACGGTTCACGGGGCGTCGGCTGTGGCAGAGGCCCGAGCGCCAACCACCGCCAACCCCAGCAGGGAGAGCAAACCATTCTGGAAACATTGAGAAGCTAAGGCTGTGGGACCACGACGGCGACGGGATCCTGAGCACCCCCTATCCGGGCCTGCTTTTTCCTCCCGTGGGGGAAAAGTGTCCAAGGCCCCCCGAACACAGCGCTCACCCATTTCTTTGTTTAGAGCAGAGCGAGTCTTGCGGGCAATCTGAGCAAGGTTCTAGACACGGTCCATGCTGGTCTCGTAAAGCCCCAGAAGTGGATGCTGCCGTCAGCCGGGTGACACTGCAAGGACCCCCACCCCCCCGACCGCACTCACGGTTGGCCGTGCACGGGCAGGGCAGTTGGGGCAACCGGAACCGAGAGCGGCCAGGATCCGGTGGCTCAATGACTGTCAGAGATGGGGGACAGAGGAAAGGGCCAGGGGCCCCAGACATGGGTGGGGGAGGAGGGAGATAGAGAGGTTGCAAGACCAGGGGAAAGGGCTTCCAGGCCTACAGGACGGGCGGGTGTCCACGCCGGAGTCCCTCCACGGACGGAGGCCGAGAAGCGAACAGAAGGGGGAAGGTGGAGCGGCCTCTGTACAGAGCCACATGGGGCCGCACGGGGCGCACACACCTGAGTGAGTGCAGGTACTGCCACGTGGCCTGAAGACACAGAAGCAGCTGGAGGGAAGACACAGCTGTGCCGCTCTGCCCTTCCTGGTCCCTGAGTCGCGGTGTCCCACTGGCCTCGGATGGCTGCCCTTGATTCCCAGCTGTGCCGCCCTCCAGGGTTTCGGCCTCACCTTCACCCAAGCAGAGTCTCTCGGCCCACCCCCGCGATTCCACACTTAGAGCCTTCCCTGGTACTGTAACCCAATTGCTACCTGGTTACTTTCAGCCATGAGAGGGCTCCTTTCGAGGCCAGCACTCGAGACCCTCCTTATCTGTCTGCCCCCGAAGTAAATGAATTCAGTCAGGACAGTTTACCAGTTACGTGGGGGGTACTGCAACAGCATTTAAACTGCTCTTGAAAAGTGTCCATGGTGTCGGAGGGCAAGTGGCCCAAGGCTCAGACACGCTACGCACGGACACAGCGTCTCGTGCGGCCATGTCTGAAGCAGATGACCAGTCCCGAAGTGCAAAGGGGCTGGTGTCCAGGAAGTTCTTGGGGAAAGCAAGTGTGGGCCATCACTGCTGTCCCACACAGAGCACTTTAGAAGGAAAAACACAGGAAACCCCCCCCCGCACACTCTGACTTTTATTCCACGCAATACCCGTCCAGCTCATGTTGCGCACCTGATCACCATACATGAGAGAAAATGATACTCATAATTGCACTGCAGTGAAAATCTCATGAAGACAAGCAAAATTATACAGAGAACTGACAAAAAATGCATTGCTATTTTAAATGTCATTTATCTGGGTAAGCATTTGGGGACCCTGCGGCCTTTCAGGACGCTCAAAAACCAGAGCACAAGTGTCCGGCAAATCCACGGTCTGCTGAAAACACCTGTACATTACCCCCCTGTAGCCAGTCATCTTTGGGTATGGGTCCCATGAAAAAAGGAGCTCACATTAAAAGGCAAGTTGGCTTGTGCAGCAGAACCAATGGGATGACGTTACACTGGCCTGCAGGAGTGAGGCTGTTCACTTACGATAGTGATGGAAATGGACATCAGAGCCCATGGATCTGGTCTCTTTCTGGTTCCCCTCACGTGGCGGTTGGCGTCCCAATCCTGGTCAGGCCACGGTTGAACCAAATGAGACTGGAGTCCAAGTGCATGGCCTCCTGCCGCTGTTCCTTGCTCTGCATGGGGACTGGATTCCCTGGCAAAGATCGTCTGCGCCTCAAAAAAACCCCACATATTTCTCAACGACCTGCCCATGGACTTCAAAGACATTGTTCCTAATACTTCTTTTTCCATCGGAAAACCCCAAGTTGCAGATCCGTTTGACCCCTCAGACAGGACTGGAGCTCATGTGCTAAGGGGGTCATATTCATCTCACATGTTTATGAAGTGCTGACAAAGATGAACGTGACACAAAGAGCAGAAGACAAAGGACAAGGGGATACAGACCCAGTGAAAGGGGCTATGAGATAAAAGCAAGTTATAAAAACTCTAGAACTTTGCATAAGTCGTATAAAACTCATTTTAATATAGCTAGATGAAACTTCTCTATGTCTTTGTTTCTATCTGTGTTTCTCACTTTTGGAGTCGTCCTAGTGATTAGAGCTCCAAGAAGCATGCTCGGAAGGAATTCTGTATTTCCAGGTCTTCCCTCTCTCTCCAGATGTCGTGTCGAGCCTCTCCTGTGTGGCAGGGAAGGCGCACATGCTCCTGGGAGGCCCAGTGGGGGGCCTCCAGCACACCTATCCCTTGCCTGCTGGAGATCTGGCAGTGAAGAGGGCTGGAAGGAGGTGGCAAGCCAATCAGGGCGCTGGGCTGAGAGCACCCATGGGCAGAATTCCTGGGCCCAGCGCGGATGGAACAGGGCAGAGCCTGCCAGCCATGGCCCTACCCCCACCGCCCCACCCCAGCCTTGCAGTAAAGTGCCATTCGAAGGGTCCGCCCTGTCTCTGGGGGGCTAAGGGGGAGGAGGGAGAAGAGGGGCCAGGCTTGCCACCACACTCATCAGGGCTCCGTTCCTCCTGCCTGAGGTCTTCTCACGGGGCGGGGAATTCTTATTTAAGCAACGATTCAGCAACATTCTCATGCGGCAAAAACCCCTGTCTTCTGCTTACATTACTCCTGAATGCAAAATTATTCAAAGCAGCTGAACCTTCAATATTATAAGAAAGGTCATATGAAAGGCAGATCCCATGAGAGAGCCACTGCTGGGCACGCTCTGTGCACATTCCTAACCCATCTTGTTTCCTTCCCGACGCGCACCGGCCACAAGACGTGGCTGCTTGAGGGGCCGCAGCCAAGTGTGAGGCTTTAGGCACTGAGGGTGGGGAGGAGGGGCGGAGAGGCCAGGGTGGTCTTTGCTGGTGGGGTCGGGGGAGGGGGGCAGAAGGCAGTGAGGAGGGTGAGCCCGGTGCGCAGGGAAGACATGCGTTGCCTGGAGCCCCCTCCTGTGAGAGACCGGAGTGTCCCCCATACCCCGCCCCCGGGGCTCTGAGAAGATGGGACCTGGGTGCGGCCGCTCCTCTGAGAAGCAGCTGCGGGTCCCCACGCAAGGCTGTGGCTTTTCAGGCACAGGGACAAACGGCCTGGAAAAAGACCAGGCCCCCGCTCGGCGGCATCGCAGGGTGTCCCGTTTGTCCGCCCCGACGGCCCTCCCTGCGGCCCGACAGCCGGCCACGAGCGGCCCGCGGCGGTATTTGCCCAGGTGCATTTCCAGACCATCTCTGAGCTGATGACCGGGAGGTGCTGTCACAGTCCAGCCACAGGCTGCCTGCAGCCTTCTCTCAAGTCCCCTCCGTTTGCAGGCGCTTAAAGGAGGAAAGCGCTGTTAGTGCTTCCAGCCGGCCACGCTCACACGTCCGGGGTGAAGCGCGCGGTGCGGCGAGAGGAAGCCCGCTGCTCCTCAGTAACTCAAGGCCCCCGAGCCCGCGGCGCGGCTCTCCTCACGGCGCGGCCCTGAGCCCGGGCAGCGCACAGGGCCCGTCACCGGCCTGGGCGACGG